TAAAGTAGATATGATAAGCAGAAATGATAAAGTAGAAATAATAAAGTAGATATGATAAAGTAAATATGATAAGCATAAGTTGAATAGGTAATAATAGGATAAAGTTATAAGGAGTAATAAGAAGGGTAATAATAGGATAAACATAATAAGAGGGTACATATATACATATATACATATATAAATATATACATATATAAATATATAAATATATACATAAGTACATATATACATAAAAGAATAAGAAGTACATAAGTACATATATAATATATATATATACATAGAAGAAATAAAAAGTAAAAAGTAAAAAGTAAAAAATAAGAATAAGGTATAGTAAAGATAGTCTATATATAATAGGTATAAAATAAGTAATAAGTAATAAGTAATAAGTAATATATAATATATAAAGAAATATAGAAATAAAAAGGAATAAATATAATAAGTCATTACATATATAAAATAAACATAAATAATAAAATAAAATTTAAATAAATATAAAAATATATATAAATATAGTCATAGTCTAGAAGTCAAGAATACTAATAATCTGTGAGCCTTCCTAGCTCAGTCGGTAGAGCGCGCGGCTCTTAACCGCGCGGTCGTGGGTTCGAGCCCCACGGGGGGCGTATTTTTATAATAAGAATAGGTGGTATAAGAGGAAATAGTATAAAGTATAAAGGTATAAAGGTATAAAGGTATAAAGGTATAAATGGTTATAGGTATAAAAGTATAAAAGTATAAAAGTATAAGAATATAAAGGTATAAAGGTATAAAGGGATAAGAATAGTATAAGAGGAATAGAATAGTATAGTATAAAGGGATAAGAATAGCATATAGGTAATAGTATAAAGTAGGTACATCTAATAAGGATATAGGAAGTAAAATACTAAGTAAAATACTAAGGAAGTATAAAAAGATATATACATATATACATGTATAAGTATAATAAATAGAAATAGAAATATAAGAATATATCTACTAAAGAGAAAGAATAAGGGAATAAGGGAATAAAAAAAGAACATAATAATATAATATAATAATATAATAATAAGTGAATAAGATGATAATAATAATAATAGTAGCATAAAGGTTAATAATAATAGTAAAAAAGACGCTTCCGCTTGGGATCGAACCAAGGACCTAACGGTTAACAGCCGTTCGCTCTGCCGACTGAGCCACGGAAGCTTTCAGTAAGCATAAGTTAAGCAGAAGTTAAGCAGAAATGTTAAAGTAGATATGATAAGCAGAAATGATAAAGTAGATATGATAAGCAGAAATGATAAAGTAGAAATAATAAAGTAGATATGATAAAGTAAAT